CGAGCACCAGGCGGTTCCGCTGCCGAAGCCGGCTCTCCTCCGCCGCCGCAGCCGCAGTGACCGCGCTAGGGGCCGCCCTCTGCCCGGCCTGCGGTGCCCGTTGGGATGAACGGGCGGCCTCTCGGGGCGTGCCGCCGCTCCCGGGTCGGGCTTGCCTCACCGGCATCGTGCCGGCTCTCCGCTCTGCTTTCGTCCGGCTCCGGCGTTCCGGCGGCATCCCCAGGGCTGAGGAGAAACGCAGACGTTCACGTGGAGCACCACTGCGCATGTGCCAGGGCGTCTGGCTCACCGCCGCGGCCCAGCCCCGGGGAGCCGGAAGGAACCTGCGCCGCCTCGAGCCACGTGACCGCCACTCACGCGCTACGTCACTCGCACTCCTCCCGGCAGCCCCTCCCCGTGTGGGAGTTCCTCTGGGAAGGCCGATCTTCCGGGTGTAGGGGGAAGCAGCGTGACTGGAGTGGAAAATTTTCCCAACACAACTTCTCAGAGACAACATATTGGAAGGGACTCAAGAAGGCCAGGGTAGAAATGAAAGCGACTGACAGAAACTCCTCTGCCTGCTGACTCTGGGCCCCGCGCCTTGCCGCGAGCCCTCATTACCTCATCGCCTTCTGGTTTTGGTACGGTCCTTAGAGTACGGAGCCTGCAGAGGGTCCCACGCTGGAGGGGAGAGAGGAGGGTACGTGGGGAAGTGGGCCAATCGGGGCGCGGGTCACGGCGCAGGCGCGCTGCGGAGGGAGGGCTATGCTAATGTTGTTGATATCCTGGGGCCACCCGAGTTAAAGGGGGGGAAATCCGGGGGCTGCCACTGCCGCCACTGGCCCGGGCCCAGCCGGGGGGTCCCCCCCTGTAGTCGCCACAGTCCCGGGGAGAGGCGCCCGCCCCCTGCTCGGGGGGGGAGGGGGCGCCGCGGGCTCGGGGAGCACGGACGGCCCCTACCCATGAGGCCCTGATGGAAAACACAAAGGATCTGGTGAGAGCTGAGTGCAGCAGCCGCTTTGTGTGCCAGGTTGGGGGGGGACGCCTGCCACTCCGGGACCCCGCTCGCGGGGCTGTTTCTTCTTCCCACGCCCCCTCCATCTCCAGAGCTCCCCTCCCCCTACTGGCCGTTAAACGTTCAAGGGGTTCCCCTCCCCCCTCAACCTCTGACTTGGGGTTCTCTCGAGTCTCTGGGAAAGGAAAAAAAAAATGAGAAGAAAGTTTTTCTCTGCCCGTCCCCAGTCCCGTTCTGGCTGAGGAGAATGTCTAGATGGGAGACTTTTCCTTTTTTAGCTGCCAAGGGTGGGAGAGTGGTGTCCTCACTTCTCTGGGGTGTGGGGGGCAAGCGCATACGGAGTTTCAGGGCTTTGCAGGGGAAGGAGCCCACTAGAGTGGGGCCAGTGCCGGGAGGCATTTGCACGTGGAGGTGCTGCTATTGAAAGGGGGCGGGGTGGGCACGTGTGGGAGGGAGACGTAGGAGTGGTGTTGGGGAGTCAGCCGCCAAGGCTGCTGCTTCGGAAGAGTTCCAAGTCGGTGGACTTCCATCATCTTCACGGTCTCCTTTGTGAACTAGAAATCCTAACATTTCAGAGTCGGAAGAGACACTAGAAGTCACCCAAGGCAGCCGCCCCTGTCCAGCTTCCGACAAGTGGTAGGTAGTCTGACCTCTACTTCGACTACACACACAGAACACGCTCTGCAACCGAGGAAGGCACCTTCCGTTATTTCCAGTCTTTCTGGTACTTGTTCGTCTGCCCTTATTAGACCCTTCAGTCTCATTCATGTCCTGGTTAAGTTGCTCCCTTTTTTACTTCTCAAATTTGTTCTCACATCCTCCTCACCCACCCACTGCTCATTGGCCTATATTTTGTGTGCCAGGAAAGAAGAGCAGGGAAGTGGAGGAGGGGGCGGGGAGAGTTCAGAGATAGTGAAGGCCAACTGAAAACTTTGCTGGGTCACTTGTAAGCGTGCTACTTACATGGCTAAAGATGGTTGGTACTTTTCTCCCGGAAGCCAGACTACTGCTGTGTGGGGACTTCATGACTGTCTCACTAGTATTCCTTTTTTGAGAGTAGGGATTTTAACCCCATTTCTTTCCTTCGTACTGTCATTGTACATTTGCCTGCTGCCTGAATCACTTTTCCTAAAAAGGTCTAAAATCGGGCCTGGGGAAGGAATAGTATTGACGCTGATAAAGGCAATACCTGAAAGACAAATGATCAGAACTAATTACTCCTTCCCATCAGTTTGACTTGTGGTCTTTGCAAACCCATGTCCCCTCCAAAAAGCGTCAAAAATGCTCTTTTTTAACATTTATTTATGGGGTAGGGCATACTACCATTGTGTGTGTATAGGTCAGAAGACAGGTTGAGGTCATCACCTCATCTTCTGCCATGTGGGACCCAGGAATCAGACCCAGGTCATCAAGGTTGGCAGAAAGCGCCTTTACCTACTGAGCCATCTTTTTTTTTCCCCCTTACAATTAGATCTTATATGAGACTAAAAATGTTTATAGCACTTTAATGTTTACTTTTGAGTTTTAAGTATTTTTACTCCTCCCAGCATTAATATGCACCAGAATTTGCCCTTTCACAGTTCACTTGCAGATACAGATTGGCACCCACTGATGTGCCTAACTTCTAGTAGCTCCTGATACTCTTAAAGCAAATTTGTTTCTGTTCTCCAACCTATGATAGAGACTGTAGCTTTGCTCTTCTGTTTCAGACTGTTTACCTCAGCACCAAAGAGTGTTTAGAAAGAAAATAGCTGTTTTTGCACCACCTCCTCTGAATACCAAGTAGCTTCTATTTATATAGAACCCCATATTCAAGGATTGCAAATGCATAGAAGATTAGGGCAAAAGCTGTCTTGAATAAGTGTCTGTTGATAATGTCTTCTGGTGAGCCAAGGTTTTTAGCCATTTTGTAACTCTCTGTGAACTTCAGCATACAGTGTCCTCTCGCAGGGCTAGTCACTAAAGTTTAATGTGGCTTTGAATCCTAGCTGTGAAAATTTGCGGAGCTCTTTACTCACATCTTCGAAATTTGAGTCACTGTAGAGTTCTAAGTTGTTGCTTTTTTTCTGCTAACTTTAAACATGAGCTGTCATGACGTAATTTGACTGACTTTGAAAGCATTTGCATTCTAAACATACTAGACAGGAACAACTGGTTTTGTTTTTAAAGAGGGCATCACTGTATTTTTATGACTGGCTATATACACAGATCTTACTATCTTGGTCTTTTCCCAATAGCTAGGTGCTCCTTCTCGTCCCTTAGTTACTTTTTTTAAATAAAAGTAAAGCAGATTATTTTAAATTGTGTTAAAACACAGAATTCAAACTAAAGCATAATTGTAGTTTATGAATAAAAAAGTGTGTTAATGTCATATCCATTAAAGTACTAAATTACTGAAAGCCAGGAGTGATCTGAATAAACACATTCTAAAATTAGAGAAATCGACTGTTTTGTATTGCTCCTTATTTCTCACCTTTTCATCTTTAAAATTGTTTTCATATCTGTCTAGGCCAGAGATAGTGGTGTTTGCCTCTAATCCCACCACCCAAGGGGCAGAGTATGCAGGGCTGTAGAGTAAACCCCCCATTTCACTAAAGCAACAGAAGAATTAGCCTTCCACTTAAAATTCAAAGACCATAAGTTGTCCTTTGTCTCAGGGTTTCAAATACATGACAGTAAAAATCATAAAGACAGAAAAGATTGTATTTATCTTCTAATAGGTCCTAACAGGGTATTCTTAGTACCTTAATAATCCCAGGAAACTTTTGTTTTTACTTCTAGATTGTCATGGAATTTTTGGTTTTTGTTTTGAGGTAGGGTCTCAAATATCCCTTCCTGGCCTGCAGCTCACTGTGATTCATAAACGTGGGCCAACATATCCAGTTTATGTAGTGATGATGAGTGAACCTGGAACTTCATGTGTGCCGAGCACTGTTACACTACATTGCCAGCCAAGAACTTAATATTTCTTAAGCTTTTTTATTAAGGACACCCCCCCCCCCATGCCACGAATTTATAGTTTCTCTGCTGGCTTTGCTAAAAAGCATAATGAAAAGTTAAAGGCTATAAATCTGCTTGAATAAACCCTGAATGTAAGAAACAGGTGAAGTGATAGTCAGGGGAACACTGTTAGAAGAGGCTTGAGTTGCAATTTTGCCACTGTCAAGCCCTGTGGCCTTGTGGGACGGCATCAGATGCCTTGATTTTTTTTCTCCTCATAGTTGAAGGGTTGGTATAGAATCATTCATTGATATCTAATGGAACTTTCTGCAGTGATGGGAATATCAGTTATTTGTGCTAGCCAGTATGGAAACCACCAGCCACAGTGGCTGTTGAGCACTTAAAATGTAGCTAACGGACAGAAACATTTGGGATTTTATCATATTGCTTTTACTTGATGTCAATTTAAACAGCCATCTCTCTCCAAATTGAATGTACAAGTATTAGAACAATGTAATCACTGGGCTCATCTATTTAAGACACTACTTACAAACACTCCTTTGCTGGAGGTGGTGGTTGATAGTTCTACTGTAACATCTGAAAACTTGGTGGTGGTCTGGTGTGTGTGTGTGTGTGTGTGTGTGTGTGTTACAAAGGCATACATTTATTTGGAAGCCAAAGATTGGCTTCCAAAATAATTATTATTAATTATTTCTTAATTATTATTCTCCACTTACTTTCTGAGACAGGGTCTCTAAAGTACTCTGGGATCTGCCTGTCTCCATTTCACTGTTGTGACCTCTTTTATGTGGTGCAGGAGAATCTGAACGTGGATCCTAGTGCTGGGGCAGCAAATACTCTACCATCTTCCCGGCCCAGTTAGGTTTCTTTAGACAAAGTCTCTCGTTTCATAGCCCAGGCTGGCTTTGAACCTGTGTTTGCCTCTGCTTCCAGATTGCTAGGGTTTTAGGTGTATGCACCAAGCCCTGCCAAGAATTTGTTTAAAGTGTGTCCCAGAAAGTTTTTCTTACCAAATTAGTTAGGGAAACGCTAAGTTTGGTTTTGAACTCCTCTGGTGTAGTAGAAGTAAGATCTGAACAAAGTGGGTGGGCAAGCTGTCTGGGTTCTGGCTCTGACTTTGTTTGCTTCTTAATTTATTCTTAAGGCAAGTTGCCTTAAGTGTTATTCTCTTCATCTGAAATATGGGGTGAGAATCAAGTCTTAATCTTTTCATAGAGTTTCTGTAAGCCTCCATCCAGAGATGTGATGATCACTTGAAGCACAATCCTAATTAGTCTTAACAATAAAAACCCTAAGTCAAGTCAGATATTGAGGGTGAAAGCTCAAAGGATCAAAGAAGCAGAGCAGTCAGCCCCTTCCCACTAAGAAGTCTCAGACTAAATTGGGGAAATCCTGTCTCTAGGAATCCTCAGACTGAATGGGTGAGATCCTGTTTTTACCCGCTTTATATTCCTGTTTCCACTTCCGTAGTGCTAGGATTAAAGGCAGGAGCCACCACCTCCTGGTTCAATCTTGTGTCCCCCGAGTTGGCCTTGAACTCTCGCAAGTGCTGAGATTCTGGTGCAAGTACTAAGATTAATGGTGCAAACCACCACTGCCTGGCCTCTATGATTAACTAGTGGCTAGCTCCACCCTCTGATCTCCAAGCAAGCTTTATTTGTCTAAACACAAAATATCATACAGTTACTGCACTTAAAAATCTAGTACCTCTGTCACTATCTTCCC